TATTGTGAGCATTAATTTCCTATAGCACACGTAGGAGTAAATGACCCCTAAGGTCATTTTACCTGTCTTAATACTAGGATATATTTTATACATTCATAAGACAAAAACTTCAGGTGTAAATGAGATAAACACCTGAGTATCTGCTATCCAGTTCAATAGAACATACCAATGTTTTCTAAAGCACCCTCCTAGATAGCCCCCTTCCTCCTAAGAAGTACCCACTAGCCTGAACTTTGGGTTTACCATTTCCTTAATTTACAATTTTTACACCTGTAGGCAATCCCTGAATAGTCTGATGGAAATTTGAGCTTTACATAGTGTCATTCTGTACAAATTCCTCTGCAACATGTTTTTCCCCAAACCTCATGCCTGTAAGAAGTGATCAAGTTGATGTGGCTGCCATGACAGACCTAACTCTTGTCCCAAAGTTCTACGCTTCAGTTTCCTCCACTATCAAAGTATAAACTGAATCATCTCCCAATACTCTTCCAGATCTGAAATTCTAATTTTACTTTTTACAATAAAGTTGTATTGTTTGCTCTAACAATATAGCGCTGATCATAATTGTGACTTTTTTGAGGTTGATGCTTCGATCAGGAACACAATTGCCAGGGGAAATGTGTCATGGTATCATTTTCAGATGCTTTGGCAAAATTCAGAGATTACTTGAATGTAAGACTTTGTCATACAAGAGAAGTCATTTTAATACCAGGCTTGAAGTGGCACATGCAGTGATCAGAAAAGACAGAATTCACAATGCAAAAATGCAAAGTTTATTTTCTTAAATAAAATACTATATTCATATCTATACAAATAATTATTACAACCATTAAAATGTTACATTTACCAATAAAAATTTCAAAACTTTAAACAAGAGCATGGTTCAGAATATTCACACCCTAATACAATGCATTTGTAAAAAGATGTCAAAATAAACAGGACCTATTCTTATTTACAGCTGTAGGACAATCCTGATCATATTATACATATCTGCTCTGGATTCCATTACAAAACAAATTAGTTCCCGTTAAGATTATAAACCAGGTGATTTACAGTAATAGGACACAGTGTACAGCAGACATTGCTGGCATGAAAATAGATACAAATATTACACGATTGAAAGCACTACAGTTAGGTTTTTTCTGGTGACTGCCCTACAGTAAGCTTCTCACCCAGTGTATCTATAAATAATTTGTGAAGGTAATTATGTTCTTAGATTTTTCCACCCATTTTTACCAAAAGGAATATATATATGGCCTGCTGAAAATGGAAGCAAATCTTTTCTTCACAGTAACACAACTGCAGCATTTCAAGCAACATTGTCTGGTCCCTTTCTTCTTGGAAGATCAACAGTTAACTCCCCTCAAAGGTTACCAATATAGTCAAGTCCAGTGCCTCAGTGACCTCACAGATGAAAATGGTTTGAAGACTTAAGGGGTGGGGGAACAGAGAGCCAGAAAAGTGAAGAGGGGGTCTAGATGGAGTAAACATTACATTCCTATGACATAATATGATGTGTAACTGTGCACACAACTGAGTCAAAAATCATGATCGTCTTTTTTAAAAGGTTAAATTACAAATAGTTTATCTTCTATATCTCATGAAATCTCTAGTGAAGATTCTGCAGTCATCCAAAGTAACACCAATTTGGATATTATCCCCAATATTTTCAACCCAAGTTGGCTCATGTTTATTAACATCTGAACACACACATATGCCAAAGATTATGGTTGATAGGGTTTGCACAAATCTAGAAATAAGGGTGTTGGATGACCACCACATACAAGCTCTGAGTTTAAAAGTTTTGCTTCTACCTAGTAAGATTTTTACAAGATCGGCATCAAAGATGGCTCAGAAAATGATAAGGCAACAGTGAGAAACATCAGCTGTACTTGTCTGCTAGGTGTTTGATTACTTGACATGTACCATCCCGGCTGGTCTTTTGCTAAAACAGAAGAGTGGGTGAGTAATATGTTCCAATTGCTGGTCTTAGGACCAGAGGCACAGTTTCAGTTAAAGTGCAGTACCAGAGTAGAGGCATGCGGGCAGAACTAGAAATTGTGTCCAAGAAGGTCCTCATTACTTCTTACTGGCCTATCTGGACTGCCTCAATTTAAACTTGATTTCCCACAAACTCTAGCAGAAATACCCTCAGGCTCATACAGGAAGTGTAGAACAAAAGGAGAACATGGGTAAGTCTAAAAAAGGACCCTCTTCAGATGAACTCTGGGGAAAGAGAAATGATAGCATTCAGCCAAAAAGTTATCAAGAGGAGAAACTATTTTCTGGCCTTTAACTTGAAAATAGGTATCATGAAATCCTCACTTACAGATTAACTTCACACTAGTTTATCTGGCTATTACTTTGCCCTCTGGATGTACACAGCCATAGGTGATTATCTCTAGGCAAATACAGGATTTATATAGACAACAGAATTACAACTTTCAGGTTCCTAAGGATATCAACCCACAGCCGTCTTCTGGTACCACCTTTGCCCATTCTCCACAACTCTGTGCGGAGGAGGGGAAACAAGTTAATAAAACAAAGAAGGACGCTTTATGGCACATTAAAATTTTTAAATTAGTTTTGAACTACTTTTGTTTCAAGAAATTCTTATCACTACTTATAGAGCGGGAGACATAGTGGTTCCCAAAGCCAGGAATTGGGGATCACTGATTTAGGAGTACGACTTCTTGTTACACACTAATCCAGTAGATGGTGTGCTCAATAAATGTTTCAAGGCAAAGGAGTAATAATCATGCTAAGGAAATGACCAGGTCTCTGCCACCTGTTTGACATGGAGCAGATGGAAGAAAATAAGATCCTAGGTACCTATATATCAAAGGAAGGATAAAGCTAAGAAGATGCATATGTTTTTACCCTTTCTCAAATTTTTAAAACTTCACTCCCATTAAAATGTGTTTCTACATTTTTTGGAATACAAATTTTAGGCTCTCCATGAAATGGCTAACATTAGAAGGCAAACATGTGACAAATGAATTATCTTTAAAATGTTTAAATAATTTTGCACTTAAAAAGGTTGATTTTAAAACTTGACCCTCATTGCAGTTCACCTTGATATGTGACTGGAAATTGCTGCAAAAGAATATTCCTTCCTTGTTCTTCTCACTCTATAGTTCTGGTATGTAAAATTTTATAAAGCATGATCACTCTGGAATTCTCAGTCCTTACTCAGAAAAAGAGTGCCATCTCTGGCACCCCCAAAATGTCTTAACATAAAAAGAAAGCTCCTGAAAGGGTATAAAACATCCCAAAACAACCTGTATGTAACAAAAAATAATATCAAACTTGATTTCTTTTATCCATGATTGACATATTAAAAGTTTATACATAACAACTCTGAAATTTTTCACCTCATTAGAAGTTATATTGTGTTTCAGAGGAATCAACCACTTTAGCAACTGATTTTATGTGATCGATAACACTAGGAGAGATGATTTAATCAGACTCTCACTTATGACTCATACTAAGTTTGTGTATTTCTAGAAATTATAAAATTATTTGTGAAGATAGTTTTACATTCTATAGTCATATATTAGCAAGCCAAAAATAACATTAAAATTACTATAACTAAAACTGATTATGTTCTCTGCCATTCCTTTGCCAAAAAATTATATCGGGATTGCTAGATATTAAATAAATTTCCTCCCCAAAATCATGTAGCTCTAATTACCAAATACTTAATACTGCTGGTAAATCTCATACACTCATGTTTTTAAATTGAATAAGATTACTATACCCTGAACACTTTTAGAATTGAGTTCATATATAAAATTATCTTACATATATATATGTACTTTTCTGTATGATAATTAGAACTACATGTAAGCAGGAGCCAAATTATTTGCAGATGGTCAGCACTTTCCTTGGATGGTCAAATAAGCCTTACTTAGGGGTACAGACTCATTTGGGATCAAAGTATTATAGAATGAAAGCTCTGAGAAATATAAATGCTATCTCTGAACAGAGCTAAGCAGAAAAATGCAATCAATACAAAAGAGAAGCATCTGAAAGTTCCAGGGTTTGAGGCCTTTTCATTGCAGTGTTCAAATAAGTATCTTCTTAGCATGTTAACTTGGTTCCAATTATATCTAACAGTCCCCAGTTCTTCAGAACTTACTAGCCACTGTATTGTGTGAGTTTGTGGGTGTGTGTGGGTGTGAAAGAGACACAGAGAGAGAGAGAGAGAGACAGAGAGACAGAGACAGACAGATAGAGAGACAGAGAGAGACAGAGAGGGAGGGAGGGAGGGCGAGAGCAAAGAGAGGTGAAGCAGGAAAGAGTAAATGTCAAACACATTGAAAATTCTCCTTAAAACTAGCAGACTGGACCTTTCAAGTACAAAGAAAAACTTGAATGTTAAAGCTTAAAACTCAGTTAAGATAATTTAAAAAACAAATCATAAATCTCATATTCTCAATTAAAAGTTTTAACTATTGTGTTTATCTGTGGTCTTGTTGAAGTAACTTATTCATGAAACTCTCCTATTCCTCCCCATGACCATTTTGAAGGGAGAAAATACAGTTCTTCTCATTTACTCTCTCTCTTTCTCTCTTTCTCTATGTGTGTATGTATGTATGTATGTATGTATATATTATATATATATGTGTGTCTGTATATATATACATATATATATTGCCCCCAAGAGGCTGCTTCAGTCAGCAGCAGGAGTAGATAGGAAAGTTTGGTAAGAACAGTTAAAGAGGCACAGATGACCCTTTTGCTGAGTCTTTAGAAGAGGTATTTGCTGGAGTTCACTGCTCTAACCCGGCCTTTGGAGGCTTTTTTTTTTTTAAGGAGAAAAAAAAAAATGCTGGTCCTAGGGTTCATTTTGTTAACAGAGCAGACAAAACAATTTATATCATCTCTACTACTCTATCCCATTTTTGGCAGAATATAACAACAAATAGTGGGTTTGAGAAAATAAGCATATATGGTTTTCTTGTGGCTTTGTTTTCAAAATTCAATATATGAGTATATACATATGTTTTTAAGTTTATTATATTCAGTGGGGCTTTTTCAAACCCTTACATCAAGTTTTTCTGTACTTCAGCAGGTCTCAGGTCTCAATTTCCCATTTTCAGATGGCAAGCTTATTTTTAAATGACCAGTTTATACTTTAAAATCTATGTCTGTGTATACACACACTCACACATACACATGGACATATATAAACAATTTTTGAAGCACCATTTCACATCTACCATCAGAAAAATAATGAACAAATTCATCTTCTCATTGTAATTCTACTATGATGGATAATAATGCAATATACAATAATGTATTTCAAATATAAATATCAGTAAATGAAAATAATGAAAGAGCTTAAGACTCTGCTCAGAAATATTTAAAAAGTAAGGCTCAAATTATTGTGTGGATTCCAAACACACTATTTACTGATCAGTCTCTACTGATTAAACAAATGTAAAAGAATTTATTGCGCGATCAATAAATAGAATGGAGAGAACATAAAAACAAAACTTAACTGATGAAACAACAATCTTTAACTGAACATATGCAAAACTCCACAATACAACTGCTCTTATCCTTATGGTCTGATGCAAAACGCAGTACACAATGGAACATCTATGTACTTTTCTTTTAAGCTTTCTATTTTTAAGGCTGTTTAAGAAAGACCTTTACTTTAAAGGATCTTGGCACATTAAAGAATAACATGGCTCCCTAATTTGAAGACCAGGACACAAAATTCAGATAATTTACAAATTGCTATAATTAAGAAAGAAGCCTCTACCTAAACCAAATCTTGGGAATAAAGGCTGATTAAATAACCCACTTATTTGCTAACTGCTTGACTTTACAACTATGGACATTCATTCTATATTAATTCAACACCTGCCATGAGTAAGAAACGGTTCTAGACACTGACATCAGCAAGCATTTGGTTATATTGAACTATATGTATTTTTGGAGAGCAACTCAACTATTTCAACTATTTTATAAATTATCAACAATCAAGTTTAAAATCTAGGTTCCTTCCTAATACTCCGCCCATGCCAAAATGATCTCCCCCAACTTCCAGCTTATTAATATTTAGGGAATAGAAGATTACAAATCAAACTTGAAAATGTAAATCTGCTTGGAAAACTTAAAAAGCACACCATGCAGTTTAAATGAAAGATAATTTTTTTGACAACCCAGTACTTACATCATCTCTGACATGGCTTTCCTACATTCAGAAGATAACTGGAAATTGATTGATTATACAAGCACAAAGACATACACACATTCTCTCTTCATGTGTCCGTATGTGTGCATGCACACATAAATACATCTGTAATCTCACCCATTACACTTATGTTTAGTCTATCAGTATTTAAACAGCTGAACTGCAGTCATGACCTAAAATATGGCTTATGTTGTGGGCAGGTCTGTTTGAGGACTGCTTGGAAGAGTCAGAGGCAGAGGAGTTTGCTATTGTAAGCAAAGGTGACATTGCTGAGCCATCAGGAAGAGCTGTAGCTATTTCTGGAAACAGAGATGTCATATTAAAATTGGATAAGTGAGAGTTGGTCATGTGCATTGGTGGCATATCAGGGAGAAGAGGAAAGCTTGGTTGAGCAAAACCAACAGGTCTTGGAGGAGATAAAATTGATCCAAATCGGTTATTTAAACTTCCACTGTTTACTTTCTCTGTGCTAGGGTTTGAGAACATTTGATTCGAAAAATAGGGGATCGAAATATCATTGGACAGTGTTGGATGAGCAGGAGAGTATGGAGGATAAAAGGAAGGTAGAGTATTTTGGGGATCTACAGGGATGAGGGCTGGAGTTCGAGTGGCACTAGGCTGGGTAACTTGTGGAATGAAAGAAGTATTAGCATTTATTGGTGGATTCATGCCACCCTCGGGAATAAAAGGAAAACCAAAATTTTGTGATAGTGTATGCTGGTCGGGTACTGAATTATCATTAGGTACTTGTGGGCTATCAGGCATGAAACGAACAATACTTCCTCTTTTCTCTGTAGTGGGTTGTTGGCGTCCAAGAATCATACTGCCACTAGTAGACAGAGGAAGATGGGGAAGACTTGGATCAAAGACATTACTATGCCTTTGGTTTCCGGAACGATTCCTTTCAGGCTGACGGATTTTGGAACCACTGCTGTCTTGCAAAGGATGCCTTGAGCGCTGGGGAACTGAAGAACTAGTTTGACGGACAGGAGGCCCTTGATCAGTATTTCCATGAGACACAGATGGATGTGGCAAAGCTGGCCTTGCAACCCCATGCATGTTGGTTGTGACTGGAGGGTTCATGTGGCCTTTGGTCCCATGGCTGTCAGTAATCCTCATGGGATTGGACTTCTGTACAGAAACATTGGGGCTTGTGTTTCGTCCTTGAATATCTCCTGAGGAAGAACTCGAGAAAGGAATGTTCAAGGTGCTGTTCCTGGTGTTAATTGCACCTAGGGACATGTCACAACTTTCCCTATTCTGATTCTCATTCTCTCTTCTGATATGGACACTTTCATGAGCTGGAGGACAATTATATTCAATTGCAGGGGATGGACCACACTGTGTGTTCCTTTGATGTTCTGAAAGTGATCTCTGGCTCCCAATGACCTGATCACCGAGGTGAGGGGCAAGTAAACTCTGCATGAAGCTTTGATGACATGTATTTTCACTGTCCCTTGGTGGGATAGCATTTCCCGTTGGGATGCTCTGAACTGGCGGATAAGGTAATCTCTTTTGGCGGTCAATTGGTGGTGGACCAGGATTCTGACTAATTCGAAAAGCCTGGGACTGCATACTCCTCAATGAAGATACAGGATTACCTATTTCATTATTTCTTGAAGATTGTACTTCAAAATTACTCTGGGGCTGTTGACTGGCTCCACTTGGTTTAAATGTCTGACAGTCAGAAAGGTGGATATCTGAGGCAACAGTATGGTCCACACGACCCTGCATATTATGAATGGCCAAACTCTTATTTCTGGGAACATCAAGGTAACTTCTCATTTCAAGCTGATCTGAAACTCTAGAACCCTGAATCAATATACCCATTCTCTGCTCTGAATTAGAGGATGTCTTTCCAATGAGGGCCTCAGCAGAATAACTTGAAACTCTATTTCTCTCTGGCCTATGTGGAGTACAGGTCATGTCTGAAGGTCTAGTCACAATACTTGGTTGGGACACCATTTGCTGCTCTATGCCTCTGGATGTCAAGAGCCTCTGCATTGGATTATGCCCAGATACATGTTCAGAAGAAACCCCTGAACCTTGCTGCCTGCTTCCAACATCCTGTTGCTGGTGCATAATATCTTGATTGATATGGTTCTGGGGATGGTTATGGTGGTTCCGGCTAGTTGAAGGGTTTTCACAACTCTTCTCTGGCTGGGAGCTTCCAAAGTGTTGCTGCATCTGTTGCTGTATCTGCTGATGGTGGGGATGTGGCTGACCACTCTTTGGTCGGGACTGGTCAGTTCCATGGTGCTTCGGTTGTAAGGAAAGCTGAGAGGCCTGAGCACCCTGAACAAGATTCCTCTTTTTCTGCATCTGAACTTCCTGTTGCAAAGTTCTCTGTTGGTGGACATTATGGGGCTGAGAGTGGACAGAGGTCTCTGCATGAGGTATGTGATGCTGCAGTTGATATAAGTGATGCCTCTCCCTTAACTGCCCTGCTTGCTGCTGCTGCTGCTGCTGCTGCTGCTGCTGCTGCTGCTGCTGCTGCTGCTGTTGCTGCTGCTGCTGCTGCTGCTGCCACTACAAAAAAGAGTTAAGTGGATCTCTCTCTCTCTCTCTCTCTCTCTCTCTCTCTCTCTCTCTCTCTACTTTTCTTTTTTTTTC